CCGACCCCCCGCCCAGGATTCCTAAGAAACCACCGGAATAACCCCAAAGGTTCCTCCGGCTTTGCCCGGGCCGGGTTGACCGTTCGACGCCGCACCATGTTTCTCGCCCGGCCCCCGAACCCGACCGCTGTCTGCCGCTCCGTGTAGGCACGCCGGGCAGCTCGGTGCCGCCGGTGCCGCCGTACAATTTTGCAGCGCCGCCCCCGCTGCAGAGCGGCTTCAAGCCGACGGCATCGCAGACGCGGGAGGCGAGGCGGGCGGGTGCAGCTGCGGCGCCTCGGGAGGGCGTCCGGACGCCGCGTGGCATCGCTTGTAGGCGATCGGGCTCTGCCAGTCCGCCATCTCGGCACTCCAGTTCCGGGACCACGAGACGGCGGTCAGCACGCTCTCCGCCGCGATCGGCCTTTTGTGCTCGGGCGCGCCGCCGCCGGCGTGATGGAGCGCCCAAGCCGGGCGGCGGGCAGCTCAATAGCTCGCGGCAATCCACGCACCGCGCCGTTTGGCCGCCGAAGAGAGGTAGAGAGCGTCGCCGAGATTGTTTGCCCCGAGCTCCCGACACCAAGGGGTCTGTGCAGATTTGGTGTGTCGTGTGAGCCAGGGTGAGAGGCGTGGTATGGTTCTCGTGCGTGTGCGTCGCACCTCTTTAAGGTTCTTCGCACTTCGGGCCCCGCTTTAGCGCTTTAAGGTCCCTCGGGCCAGTTTCGGGGGGCAAACCCCGCCCGGCCCCTAGAACCCCAGGTAAGGCCCAGGTATGGCCTAGGGCATCAGAAGGGACCAAGAGGAGTCCAGTCTGAGCCATAGAGCCCATGTCTTTGCCCCCGAAGGTCGCGTTCAAATGCCCGGAACGGACGTTACAGTGGTGTCCGGCCGGCGCGATCACCGAGCTGTGACGCTCAGGGGAGCCCGATGAGGTACTGGTTTCTTTGCCCAGGCCTGGCCTACGACCCGTGCTGGATCAGCTGAGCAAGGTTTGGGGAGAATCCTATAGACAGATCTTCAGATATTTTAACGGATGACCGAAAATGGCAAAAAGGAAGTAGACTCGC